CCCCCCCCAGCAGCACACCAGATCCAAAGGTGAGCAGCTCGTGCTTGCTTGCTTGCTTGCTTCCTTGTTTGGTTTCGTCTCTGCAACGAAAACAACAGGAAAAGCAAATACAAAAAGAGAAAGGAGAACAGCTGCCAAAAGAAAGAAAGAAAGATAGATAGATAAATAGATAGGTATAGACAGATAGATGGATAGGCCAAAAAGCCAAAAGCCACAAAAGCCAAAAGCCAGAGAAGCCACGAAAGCCACGAAAGCCAAAAGCCACAAAAGCCAGAAGCCACAGAAGCCACGAAAAACAAAAAAAAACAAAAAAGAAACAAAATAAATTCCAAAAATAAATACCCCTCCATTATGTAAACTGTACGGCTCTCTTTAATCCAAGGTGCCGGTATTGCAAACCCTTGACGCGATGCACAATCCCGACCAAACTCATGATGGGCTGTAAGTAGGGCGCATCCACATCACATCCAGCTGCAATGAGGGCTGATACCACCTGACCATCGGATGAATCCGTTTCGACGATTCGGATAAGTCAGGTCGTTCAAAGGGACAGGTTGGGAAGGTTTCGAGGTCTTTTTGGGGTCGACCCACTGGGAGGTTTTGAGGTGAAAAAGGGAAGAACACTCTATATGAGCCACGGTCAAAATCAATTATTTATGCTAAGGATGTTTTTTATCGTTATCGTTTTTGGGGGAGACCTTATCGGTTTTCAGCTTTTTGTTCAATCAGATGCTTTTGGCATTCGCATTTACATTGTGGATGCATGAAGCGGAGCTACCTACTCGCTGAAATCAGAAGCAATGGATGACGAGCTTGTTCACAGATCGCTTGTCAGCGGCGGACAAAAGCATTGCAATCTCGAGTGGGTTTGCAAAATTTGGTGTACCTATCTCTATCTTAATCCGAATCGGCCTTCTGTTTGCTGGGATGTAAAATACTAACACGTAAGTTCTCAAGAAGAAAGGCTAGACCAATGTCTTCGATAGGGAATTTAGCTGTCTCGTCAGCAGGCTCTGGGCAAGTGGCTATGAAAGCTGAAAACATATCCAAACATTTATCGGCAAGTTATCGGTTTCGTTATCGGCGTAGTGGCCACATAGAATCCGGATTTTTCAAGGAATGGCTGCAGATTAGAAAAAGAACAACACAGCAACAAAAATATTGATTCCATATCATATGGCTGAAGCCACCCACTAGGGTACTGTCAGTGGGGCTTTCATTCGACATGCAACAGGTACCGCAAGGATCTGTCAATAATGATAATAAATATCATCATACATAGGTTATCGGTTTTGGGGGGGACCTTATCGGTTTCCAATACATCCTCACCCCAAGCCATTCACATCGACCTCTCCTGACTAAAGTAGTCTACACTTATATGAAGGCTCAATCAAGTGGGTTCAGCTTCTTCACCTTCTCGAAATTGACGAAACAAAAAACAACATCCTGCTCCATGCAATGACATGCCTGGACTCGCACTCCCTTCTACACCATTCCTGTTCTTGGACTTTGACGTCAGGGGCAGGCTGACTTTTTGGGAAAAAAATGTTGGGGAGGATGTTTGGCTTCCTGGATGATTATTAGAGTATGGCCTATTTTCAGTGCTTCGAACGGCGGCTTGTCCCTTGTCCCTATCAGGACATCGCGTTGGTCCGTCCGATCGCCTGACTGGAGCCACCTTGCAGCATCACCGCATTATGGAGCCTGGGACGGTCGACCACGGTCGCGTCGAGAGACATGTCGAACCACTACGTCCGGGTGCAGAGCAGTGCCGTCCACGCCGTGTTGGGTTCGCAAAGACACGTGGATGACTGGGTGTTGAGGAATTAATCTGCTTGATTGAATTTGATGTTTGTGCTTTTCCTCTGATGAGTCTCGGAGGCCGGCTTTCTTGCCGGAGCTTTAATCAGTTTGAACATGTGGACCGTTCGAAATGGATACTTCCTTTTGAGGTAAATCCGGCCAGGGTAAACACAACAGCTGCCCGTGCCTTCACAGCACAACACTGGTAGTTCGAAGATGCTTGTGCTTGGTGTTGTTGTGGGTGGTTGACATTTAGGTTCACTATAGTCCTTGTCTATCACAAAACCACTTATTGGCCGCTCTTGGTTGTTGTAACCTGATTACTTCGAACACCTCGAAGGAGTGGTCAAAGAGGTTGCTAGTTTCCCTCACAACATCCGTTTTGATCGTCAGAAGTCCGCTTGCAGAACGGACAGAATCGTCTTTGGTTTGCATGGAAATGGAACTCAGTGACCCCATAGTCATCACTGGAAAAGGAACTGGGGCATCCTCACAGAATTGGCATCGACACCGATGTCCCAGGAGGTCCCCGGTAAGGCGTCGTGCTCACCACCGGGCTCCCTACAAAAGGCCCCACAAAATCCAGGTGAACCTGAAATCAGCCTGTGGAAGGTTACCAGTGGAAACTAGTCCCTTACAAATGGCTTACAGGTTCTCCAGTCACCGGGGTGGGTGGGTTCAAGGAAGGAGAGACAATGTAGGACAGATCCCCCCGGCGGCGTGGAAAAACCGCCAAGCAGCGTGAAGGACAGATCAAAGTCCTTTGGATCTTTGAGCAAAGCTTCAACCGCGGCCGATGCTCCACTGGCTGCAGCCATGTTCCTCAGGAATGGAGAAGGGCCACCCGCGAAAGCGGTGGCAAGTGAAAGGTGACAACTATGAGGTGAACCGGGGTCGAGATGAGTCAAAAGAGAACTACGGTGTCTCATGGTATCTCGTCGCAATTATTGTTTTTCTATGACTATGACTATGTCTGTTTCTTTGACACTTCCATGGGATGTTCATGGCAACTGTATCGAATTTCCAATTGGTCCGCCATGGTCAGTGCAAAGGAATTGTTATGTTCTTGTCTCTGAGACTTGGAAGTGCTCCATCGTTGGAGGTATTCCAATCCACGATGTGTCCAATCGAAGCCATGTTGTCAACACACATCTCGGCAAAAGTTCCCATCTTCTGGGAGTCGAAAAGGGTTCCTCTACGACTCTCACGGTCGCTCAGAAAGGCCCACGTGGCACAAAAGGAGCAAATGGTTGCGTGAATCGTCTCTTTTTACTTCTATTTGACGTATCATTTGTGTGTGTAACGGTCGGCTCATTTATGATCATTCGCGTGTGTTGTTCATGCAAGCATCCTGTATAGGTACCCACACATCTGCAAAGATCAGTCTGGGTAGTAGCCAGTTCCTCCCCAAAGTGCCAATGCCTCTGGTCACAACCAAGGATATGTCCTTCTGACTGGTCCCGACTGGTCCCAATGCATAGTGACTAATGAGCCATCCGAGCCTGACTGGTATAGCCTGACTGCCAAGCTTCAACGCATGATCTCCGAAGGGGTTCTTCTTGTGTGGATCCGCCCGAGCGTCACACAGGAGCCGCACTCCTGCCGGTGGTTCTGAAGTCGATGAGACGAAGGCCGGTGTTGAACATCTCGACCAATCCAGTGATTCAAGCTATATGTGTTGGGATTCACTTGGGATGAAAGATCATGCAAGTTCTGAATCACAAAGCCCCCGAAAGAAGCATGAACATCCCTGGCTAAAACCCTTGTGTCTACTAGTGCTACACAGCTTCCAGCTTCTGCCAACATCTAACTCTATCCAACCCCCTGATGTTTCGATGCAAAAGAAAACCCAGACTCGAGCGACATGTAGTACATGGTCTTCCGGCCCCGAAGCGACCTGGAGGGATTGGATTCCTCTCGGTCTCTCGGAAAATTCGAATCCCTCCCGTCCGGTTTTGAGAGACCAGGAAAGGGCTGTGAACGGAGCCTTTGGGTGAGATACTTGTGACTTATGACGCTTGTGACTGTCTCTCTTTGTTTTTTTTCCTCTCTCTCTCTCTCTTATGACCTATTTAATGATCCATTTCGGAAAAGAACTGACGTCGCAAAGAGGGATCCATCCTGAACCTTGAACTGCAGATCCATCTGACAAAACATTTTTCGACGTGAAGCTGTGAGTTTTCTACGTCTGACCTGCATCTGACTTGCTGGGAAAAACATCTCGGACAAAGCTGACATCCATGGTCTGATTCCATGTCTTTCTTCACATCAACTGAGAAACCTATGCCCTGGTTCCGAGACTTTAGCATGGAACCTGAAAGAATTGGTGAATGTGGAACATTAGCATTTGTCTTCCAATTGTCAATTTTGCGATATTTTCAGGTTCAATTTGTTTAATCTTTCCGGGTGTCTTGTTTTGCATTTGCCACTGGAGTGTTCAGAACTGTCTTGCCCAGCGGCGCATCAATCTACATCTATCCTGTATACACCAATCAAACGAGAGAAGCTGCCTCTGGTGGCTGCAAACTTGAGTTTCTGTTTACCCATTGTTTTGTGATACACACCCAAGGATTCTGGTGGCCGAACCGACTGTTCAAACTCGAGCATTCAAAAAGGTTTGAACCCGGCCAAGACTCGTTTAGAACCGCAGTATACACTCCGACTCACTAACATGGAAGTGGATGGCACCCACTGTTTGTAGAGGAAAGTAGTCTTCCAAGGGGCCAGGCCATCCACGTAACCATGTGATGTGTTCGTCAGAGTGTATACCAAAACTGACACCTAGTATTAACCCAAACGCACCATGTATGGCATCTATGCCCTCATTGACCCCCTTTTCAACCACACCAACTGATCAGCAAATATGCCATATGCCAGTCCCAATACAGGTCGTGTCAATGGTTGAGATGACGCTCAGAGTCACCTCTACCTCGGTTTGAATGGACTTGAAGCGCCCCAAATCGGTGAATGGCCCTCGGACTGATCGGTGTATAAGACTGACTCGATTTGACCAAAGAGCGGGGGTCAAAGCAAGAAACCCGTGACCAGAGACATCAGTGACAACAGGAGCCGGTCTTTTTGGGGGTCCAAATGTTCACCTCCTTCCTAAAGTGGTCACCATCCACCTTACTCTCGCCCAGTGGGCACCCGGTGGACGTCTGGCCACGAACGGAGACTTAGAGGGAATGCTCTTGCCATGGAGCTGCTTTGGAAGAGGTGAGAGCCATGATCGAGCATTCCGCTTTGCCTTGGCCCAGCCTTGGGGATCGTTCACCAGGCAGGACATGCCCAAAGGCGTATGCACCTGGGAAGCGTTTTCTCAACCAGGGCGGGAAAGGGGGGTGAAAAGGCTCTGAAGAATTGGAACGAGATATCTGGTACCTTGGGGGGGCTTGGGTATCTTGGATCCACGGTGGGTGGCAAGAGGATCCTATTAAGCTAATACAACAGTTCAGGTCCTTGTCAATTTCATGGGCCCTTCAGCGCCAAGGAACAGCCTTGGTGTTGACTTCCGCCTTGGCGTTCAGAAGCACCTGCATCGCCTCGTGGTTCTTAAACTTGGCACAGATCGCTAGGACCGAGGTGTTCTTATCCATGTTCACTTCCTCAGAACATCATCGGTGGCATCGGTCTGATCGGACACGGCGGGAAAAACCGTGATGAAAGCAATACGGGAATTCAACCTACCACTAATCAGTAGTAGGCCTAGTAGACCTACCACTAGCATGGACCTACCACTACTAAACCTACCACTAGTAGACCTGCAGAGTTTGCAGGTGGAAGGCTTCCGTCTTGACTCTACACCTTGACGGTTCCTTGCCCAGTGGATCCAGGCAAGCCACTGTAGCTGGGGAAACCATCCAGCTAGACGACATCAAAAACCATACCATAAAACCCTCGTTCCTTGCATAGCTGCCTGGGATACTGGGATTTGTACAACTCAAGTGCCTAGACACTAAAAACTTCGGCATAGACAGTGGTTTCTGCAGCTGAAACCATCGGATTCTGCAGAGAAGCAGAAAAGACCTCTCACTGGTAACTTCTTCCCCGCCAAGCCCTGGAAACATTGAACAGCTTGACCGAACCCGCTGCAGAACGGTTTGTTACATGCACAGAAAAAAATGGGAATGAGTCAGCCAGCAAAAAGCTCAGCGAGAAAGGTCTTGGACATGTATTATTCAAGAGTTGCTATAGAGGGATGTTCGAATTTTTTGGACCAGGGTCACGAGAGGGGCGATTATGGATACAGTAGACCTTGAAATCAGGGAGACTGAGGTCGTGGAAAATGAGAAGGCTCGTAGAACCCAGTGAGGTCTACTGTCTTGTCTGGGGCAACGAACAAAGGACACGTCGTGACGTCTTCCTCGCCGTCTAGTCCAAGAGTGTTGGTGTAGCTTTGAAAGGCCGAAGATGAGGGACAAACGAAACGCATGTGGAGGTTCCTGTGCGTCAGAAACACTCTTTGCAATCATAGCAACTTTGTGGATGTGGTGCGTGGCCATGGATAGCAAACATGGGTTCACACAATGTTCCACACGGTTCTGCTGACTTGTGGAAAGTCTAAAGAATAGTGTGTGGTCTTCTCGGTACCAGTCTCTATTCTTCAGACAATCCTTACTAGTCTTTATTACTATTTATTCCATTTACACTAAGAATACTTGGCATAGCGTATGCTGGGGTGGAAGCCTGGGTTTGGGGCCCCTCAAGCGTCTGGAATCTCGTGGTCGTCGGGGGATATGCTTTGAAAGTGCCAGAAGACCACGAGGATCTACACATCAAAGAGTTAAACAGGAACTTAAACATGATGAAACAGGTGACTCTTCACTTGAGATTGCTTCATGTTGCTTCTCCTTCCCGCTTCTCTTTCCACTTCTGGTTGCGTCCGGACGACTCGTTAGGACGACGAACGCCCCGCCCCGATGCACGACGAGGGAGATCGGACGCCCCGCCGAGGCTCGGAACGTGGCTTCTGGGTCAGGTCGTTGGGACTGGCCTTGGCCTCCAGCAGCGCCTGGATGAGATTGGGATCTCCATTCATGCTGGCATAGCACAAGGGCGACCATCCTGCGGGGTGCGGGCTTCACGGGGAGCCCACGGGGAGACCACGGGATCTGCCAAAAGAAGAAGCACCACCCCTTGGACTAGGAGAAATGGCAAGCAAACATGCAACAGAAACGAGCCACTAAACGAGCCTGCTGCAGTGGGAAGTGGGAACTCTCCAGTTCTTCTGCATTTGGGGTCTTCTGCCGCTGGGAAGTACGTAGCTGTGCCTTTGTACGTAACTCTTGAAACAGCGCCGTAGGACTCGAAGTAAAAAGAAGGATTCCTTTCAGATCAACCTTCTTGTTCCTGATAGCAAGAATGCTCCTAGTAAGGTCAGGAGCTAGTAGCTTCTTGCTCCCAATAGCAAGAAGGTTACCACGAACAATGTTGAAATAGGACTCCCATGGCACCAATCCACATCTCCACTTTCAACATCCAGGCATGCTCCTTTCGCCCCGAAATCGAAGTCCTGAAACCCCCGTCCTGCAGCATCCCGGTCCAACGCCTTTCGGAATCCTCGGCGAAATCGCCCCGGTCCAGTCCGGTCTGACGCCGTTCGCTCGCGACATCCCAGAGGCCAACGTTGCAGTGGTCGAGGGCAAACATGCCCAGACCGTCCCATCGGTCTATGCTATAGTTACAAATCCCATGTGGTTGGACCATGGATGGTCTGGGATGGGGAAAGGAATGCCCCAATGGTCCTCCCAAATGGTCGACCGAACTGTTCACGACAGAGACATACGGGGTCTCCCATCCATGGCCTAACCTCCCGCTCGATGGATGGCAGGCCATGGATGCGAGGAAGGGCCCCCAAACCCGGCTTTTAAGGCGATCTTGAAGCCTCGAATGTCCGTGCTACTCCGCTGAAAAGTGGATTTTGTTGGTGAGATCTGAGAAGTGGGCATTTCCGTACTTTTGATTGAGTTGAGTGATTTCTAACCGGCGGTTTTTCGGCTTTCCTTGAAGGGGATCCCGGAAGAAAGAAGACTGTGCCGGTCGTTCGGCGTTTTGGTTTCCCGAGCAGTTTTGGGGTGTTCGTTTTAGGGTAGAATAACGCCTGTGACACTGGGACGCTGACGGTCGATCTCTTTCAACCAAAAGCATCAAACAACTTGAAACAACTGAGACATCTCACTGAACTTGGCTGTCTAGGTTGGAGGCCATCGCTAGTAGGGTGGAGGCCGAGGCCATCGCTAGTAGGGTGGAGGCCATCGCTAGTAAGGCTCGTTCGGCATGGTCACAGCAGAGTCTTGTCCTGGCAGTCTCATCTATTGGCGCTACAGTTGATATCGGAGATAAAATCCACTTCCATGTTTTGAGGGAGGCTGATTACAGTGGTTTCAGATGGCACAATCTGCAAATTTGGTTTAAATATTAGACCCCCATCATGGAAGATGTCTGGGGGGCCCCGTGCCATTGCGAGAAACCACTGCGAGAGACGCCGTTCTGGCGTGCCCAGGTGCCGTTCTGGCGCAAAAAGTCTTCAAGCACACCCTGGCACTCACCTGCCCAGCTGGTGAAGGGCAACAGCAGGTGCCCAGCTGATGTTGCTTGTTTTTCGCAGTGTTGCCAGCCAAATCATGAGGGCTATGACGACTTGACCGGCCATGTTGAGGCTCTTAAAGGCCGACATGACCCATCAAAAGCAACCTGTCTTTTTCCTGAGATATCTGATGACTCTTTGAGGTGTTTTATTGTATTTGTTTCAATGTATGTGGCTCAACATACTCAAACAAAAGACTTCAAAACAAGTCTGGTTGCTCTCTGGTTGCTTCAAGCAGCGTGCGGTTGCTCTCACATGGATATCACATGGATCACGACATGTGGATCGCTACAAACACGGCGCCCGGACCTGGCACCAAGCTCTGCACCTTTTCCACCGGCAAGTTCCGCAGGAAGGCGGTCTGCTGATTTAATAAGAACCTGGGCGAACCGCCCAGTGCGGTGCTGAGCATCCAAAAGGCGGCAAGGATAAAGCACATTTAAAAAAGAACAAGAGTTCAGGAAGAACTTGGTGTTAACACCAAGTTCCATCTAAACTCTTGAAAATAAATTGTGGGCTGCTAATAAAAGTAAAAAGTCAAAGAGGCACGCACTCAGACTCATGCCCAAAGTACATTTCATAGGGATTACCTTGTCAGAAACTCTGGTTACTTACTACTCGTGGGCTGCCTGGATCCACTGGGATGGAATCGGTCCTCTTCAGGTGGCGCACGGATGACCGCGGCGACCTCCCTGCGGCTCAACCGCCTCCACATGCGAAAACCACCCTCTGAACGAACAAATAGATGTTTCTCTGCTTATATTTGTAGCTCAGCTGCCGATATTGCACCAAATCGCCCGCTGCCAGGCACATGATGAGCTTCTTTTGCAGGATCGATTGAAGTACGACTGCGACTCGTGCACAGTCCTTCTCCACAGTAAAGCGTCCCTCCTAAGACCGATTTTGCCAGGGCTGAGGAGGGTGGAGGCCCGGCACCGTGTCGAGTGCCCTGCTACAGCAGTGGGGCCATCCACAGCGAAAACAATGAGGTGAGAAAGACATATTATAGGGTTTAGACCTTAGACAAACATGTTGATCATGGGGGAAGAAGTGATAGGTAAGTCCAAACTGGACATGGGGATATGTGTTTGTCTTTTCCTAGGGATCCAAATACCTTCTCACAAAGGTACTTGGACCCTCCTGGCGCCTACATAAAAGTCTCCAATCGCCTTCTCAGAGGCTATGTGGATCCATAGGGAGCCAGTGCTCTCTCCACAGGGGGAAAATACAAGAAGGATTACCCTCTGCAAGCCAACATTGTAACATGGAAACTGAATTATCCTCCGGCATGGTCTATCAGCTTCTATAAGTTAGTCTTGAAACGGCTAACACGCAAAAACAAAAAATACCGCACACGTGAAGTCATCCGGAAACATCCGGCAACCAAAAAATGGTGCCAAAACATGGCATATGTCTGCATGGTGAAAATGACTGACCGCCACTAGAGTTTTTGGACATCGGATGTAGCTGGTCAAACCAAACATGCTGGTCATTGCGTAGCTGGGTCGTTTTTGGCCTCACGTGGCCTGCAGAGAATGGCGGCATATGCCTGCGACCAGGCATCCCCTGGGGAGCTGCTGCTCAACTGCGAGACTTTCAACTCTTGGTGCATGGCGCTCTTGACCAAGATCCAAGAACCTGCGGTTTATTGCAGCAAACATGTGACCTGCAGGTTGTGGGCATTCTCTGGAGTTGTTCGGCCTTCTCTGACCCGTTTGCGGGCTCCAAAGTCCCACATCCTTAGAAGCTGAAGAAGGACCCCAAACCCACCATGTCCCGCTCAGCAGGAGGTTCCAAGTGACCCAGGGAAGCCTCTCGTGGCCACCCAAGGGAACCACCCAGCTGTCGTGATTGACAAGTGAACAGAGTGAAGGTGTCTGCAAAAGAAGTCTTTTTGGGGATGACCGACACCAGTGAACCAATACTTCCAATAATACCGGATGGTCAAGATAAACTCCTCAAAAGAATATTATACGATATATTTATAGATACACACACATATGGTGACCGTCTTGAATTAAGATGTGTGGCCACCGAGATGAACTCCTCACCATGGTCAAAAGAATATGGTATGACCACGGTGAGCAACCTCTTCTCTTGCGCTCCATAGCCCTTGTGGTCCATCTCGAATCCCGCCCAATCCCCCGCGCAAATGGTTTGCCGGTGGTTTTGTTGCTCGGATGTTCAGAAAACACGATTCGTCCTCCAAAGGGACCCAGTTGATGGTGGAGCTGAAGCTTGAAGGAATGTCACGTTGGTGCACTCCTATATGAACAGGTGGACACTCCTCAAGCTTTATCACTCCTATATTCACTCCAATGCCAGTGGCACTCCTATATCCACCTCCTATGTCACAGGTGACCTCCCGGCCAAAACCGACCGACGGCGGACCTTGATTCACCGTGAGGTCGCGCACCAACTGCTCCACGCGACACCAGCCACGATCGCCTCGGTCTGACCGCCGTGGGTTTGGCACGTGGCGCGACAAGAGCATAGTGAACACCGAGCCGAACTGGAAAAAGACCTCAGGAGTTCTGTGGAGTTTGGTGCAGAAGGACCTCGCAGCGTGCGTTTGGCTCGGATCTTTGACTCTGGTTGTCCACGCTCGGTCATTTCTGACCCTGTTCCACAAGGTCGTGTCTTGTCCTGCCACAGATCCTCCACAAATCCCAGCCACCCGATCCTGAAAAAAATAAGAAGCAGTTTCATCCAGCTTTATCATTCAGTGAGTCACAAACTTTGGTGAAGTTTCAGTCCCAACCCAAAGAAAAGGCCAAACTGAGCATACACGGCAACACTACGGATAACCATATTAATATATTATTGATTGTAGATAACATGATTCTAACCATCATTCTTCTTCTTCTTCGTGCTGCTCCATCTTCTCCAGGCAAGTTGCCCCAGGTGTAGTCACTAAAGGTCTCCGTGCCATCAGGGCTGCTGAGCACTGGGCACAGTGCCATGAAGAAGTCGCAACGGGACACATACCTCAGGAGCCGGGACGGCTGAGCACGGCGCACGGCGAGAAGCGGAGATGCGCCGGTCTAGACCGGAAGGAGTGTCCAGTGCGGACCCAGCGACCATGGTGGATCTCTATCACTTATATGTGTATAGCTACACGAGATTTCAGAGATTGCTTTCTATATAGGTCTATCAGGTCTTTTGAAGTCAAACAAAAAGAAACACTGGTGCCTGTGTTCGGCAGAATTCACGGGAAGATCCGGGCGGCGAACGCGCCACCGAGCTGCCATGTCCCAGTTTTAGGTCCCAAACCGCAGCGAGGAGCTGAGCTGCGAAGCTCAGGGGTTCTACCCCGGCAAGTCTCCTTTTTAGGAATCCAATGATTGTCATGGTAGAACCCTGAACCGTGAAGGGTTTCCTTAAACTAAACCCTGAAACCTGAAGGGTTTCCCTGAACCCTAAACCCTAAACTGAACCCTGAAGGGTTTCCTTCAGTGATTCGACCCCCCCTGGTGGATTCTGGGAGAATTCTCGGCCTGCAGGACCAGACCTGGAGGACTGACCGGGCCCTTCCACTTCCGATTCGTTCTCCAAGGGGTGTGCCAATGGAGATCTCTTTTTGTTGAACAAAGGTCATATAAATGAAGGTCATATAAATGAAGGTGTTGCTCATGTGCCGGTGCTTCATGGTGCTATTCTTGCAAAGGAAGGTGCCGGTCATATACATGTGAACCACCCGTGGAAGAGGCGCTGCCCACGACATCTCAGTACATACTTCTTGCTGACTCGGTGTCGAGACACACATGGGAAACACACCCAGTCAGCAACAAATGCTTCATGTGAACCACTGGTTATGCGAGAACAAACAACAAGCATCAAACAACAACAATTGAACACGCGTATATTGGGCAGACACGTATCCTGAGAAAAACAATTACTCTTAACCTACCAGCTGCTTCGCAGGATCACCAATGGACAACCCTACACTATCCTACACTACTGATAGGCCTAAATTGGACACCCATTCGAAGGGCTAGGTATTTGGTCAGTCTAGGAACTAATGAAAAAATGAACCTAGGCCTTGAAATATCTTGAAGCACAATGAAGCCAGCGACAATCAGTCTCGCTATGTTCCACTGACATGCTTGCTCAATCAACCAATCAACACCAAGAGAAGCGCAAGTAAACCATGGCCCAAAATGGCCCAAATTGACTAACTTGGCGGTTTGGATTTGAAGCAGGGCCTGTGGGTCACTTGGATTCGCTCCAAGCAGCACCGGAATGCTGTCGATGGCCATTTGTAGGTGGTTGGAACCTGAAGGCATCGGGATGGCATCGGGAACAGAAGCGGTTACTTTCAGATTTTGCCCAAACCCCTTTGCCTCTTGTGAACACCTTTCGATGCTGGAAGGTTGGCCCTTTTTCTTCCCGGATCGGGTCTTGACCCTCCAAATGTCGATCTTTCAATGTCCCCAACATCCAAACACATCGGTTTACATGTCACTCTGACGAACACATCACATGATTACGTGGATGGCATGGTCCCTTGGAAGACTACTTTCCTTTACAAACAGGCGGGGTTCCACTTCCATGTTGTTAGTTATAGTGAGTCGGAGTGTAATCTGAATCTCTATTGGTCTATCGGTCTATTTTGTTTCTGTGATATTCTGTGATGCCAGGAATTTTTGCAGGTCCTCACAAGATGCTCCGCCTATTTGCACCTCTGAAAGGGATGGTCCCTGTTTCACAGTCCGGCTGGTTTTCCATCCCTTTCAGGTCGGGCTCAGGTCGGGTTTTTTCGGACTCAACCAACATGAACGTGAACCTTCTGCATAGGCACAAGCGTCACCCTTCTCCTCCAGTTGCGGGCAGGAGAAGTAGTCGTACCAAAGAAACAGCCTGGGAAGAAACGGGCTTTAGGCTTGCGAGGTTGAAAACAGGCTACCTAACCCCCAACCAAAAAATTTGAAACACGAAAGAAAAAGAACTCAAGGGAAGGAAAAGCACCAAACCTCGGTTTGGTGAAAACCAAAAAAAAAAATACACCAAACCTGGAGACTTCGTAGAGGGAGGATCCGAAATCAAGGTGGACGGTGATTACGTCCCGCGGTTCACCCGCACACGACAACCCCAAGCTAAGCACCTCGCTCGCCCCAACGGACGGTTCGCGAAGCTTGGCCACGACTAGTCGGAGTGCCACGACGAGATCGGTGGAAACAGGGTGGCTCAACTTGGTTTTCTCCTTGAGAGTCGGATCTTCCTAAGTTCTCTTGGACAAAGTACCTCCTGGTTCGTCCATCTTGATCGATCCAGTCGTACCTCCTCAAAAGGTACGACTGGACCCTCCTGGCACCCACCCCAGTCCCACCTTCTCAGAGGGCACTTGGATCCTTAGGGCATGAACAAGTTCTACAAGTTGGTTCTACATCCTCTGCGAAGCTGGGGAGTCCAGGACCGCAAAGACGTGAAGCTGGGCAGTCCCGGACCGCAAAGAGACAGCCCGCATACCCGGCGCCCCGAGAAGTACTCGGTGGACACCCGAGCAACGGCTTCTCCTGCCACTCCGCAGCTGTCAAGCCTGCAGCGTACGACGGAGTAGGACACCAGGGTTCAGAACCCCCACTGACGGAAGGCCTTCAAATTAATGAGTCGACTCTTTTGAGCTACTGGTGGGGCGAAATATCATAAAGAGTCTACATTATATATAGTGTGCATGATCTGTTGTCACCAGACTGCGATACAGCCCCTTCCCCGCCACCTGTTCTAGGGGAGATCCCTTCAGCAAGTAAAATGGCCTCCGTGGTAGCATTCGTAGTGCACCGCTTTTGTCCGCTTGCTAAGTGTTTCCCGAAAAATAGAAAAAGACTCACACGTCAACATTGAGATAGGTTCATCCCCCAGTTTCTTAACCCGGCGAATCAGGCATGTTCATTTCTAGCCGAGTAAAACTGTCCAATCAAAGTTGATGGCGCTCCATTCAGCCACACAAACCAGATTGCTTGACCACCAGAGCTCAGGAGTCAACCTGCGAACACGCAAAGATTGTGAACAGTAGGGTATCTACCATACCACATCAACTAAAAGACGCTCCGCACAGCCTGACTGGTCCCAAAAAACCAAGGGATTGGTTCGACTCCAGACCCCTCGAACTGCTCTGCGGGCATCTGGGCAGTCTTCACCGCCTCGAAGAGTCCCATCTCTCACCATCTGGACATCGACCACCAGGCCCAAAACCTGAGATCCCTGAAATACCCACCCCAATGATATGGGGCTAGGTCGTTGAAATCACCGAGCCCTTAGTCTACCATGTCGACCACCAGGTGTCAATTGACTCACCATGGAGCGGACCGGCCCAGACCCAAACAGCGAAAGGTCTCAAAGAAGGCGCGGCCTGTGGATCTGAAGTAGACGGCTTCCGTGATCAAGTCCACGGAGACTTCGCTCTCGCCCGATAACAAGTTCTTCAAGGTGTCTTGCAAGACCCTCATCCTGAGCGGAGACTTCGCGTTTTTTCACGCGGCGATGCGGGCTTTTTTCCCCCTATGAGTGCGGCTACTTGTTGTGTTCTTTGCTCTGCCCGCACACGCAGGGCTGCTGCCGCAACAACGCGTGGCTACAGACCCCCAGAAGTCCTGCAGTCACAGTTCCCCAGTCGTATCATGTCGTATCCAGTATATGTGCAATTCTGTGCATATGCACATGCGATATATATGATATAATATATTAATATATATATATATATGTGCACATGCACCTGCGATATACATAGACACACAACTGACACACTCATCTCACTCATTGTCAACTGTGTCCAGTTCCCCATGTTGGCAAAAAAAGTCGACTCCGTCAACATCACCTCCCCCTTAGTAAAACCTCAGCGTCTGCTTGAACTCCGGATCTGGATGTCCTTTTCCAACCCACCTCAGAGACGACACCGCCGGGTCGTTTCCCGGTGAAATGAGATTAGTTGGAGTCGACGGAGAGTGAGAAAGAGGAAGTGGCTCCGTCCAAAAATGGTGGAAGCCTATGGGTACCACATGTGGTTCCAAAAATGGTGGGTAGAAAGACCCCTCAAGAACGACGCACCCCAACCAAAGACGGCGGGGCCATCCCAGACGGGTCGTGACTGGAGACTGTGTCACAAACAGCGATGATCCGGAAGAAGGATCCCCAACACTCCATAAAACTGGAATAGCCATAGCTACCTACATTGACCGAATGAAAAACCGCACCTGGGCCCCGGAACTCGGGACAAGGACTGGCGGGAATGAATGAAAAGCACTGGTATGGTCCGCTTTCCAGCGGCTGAAGTTTCCCATGGGCGATTCACCTCAAATAGGACCTCTGAGACCATGTCGGACCATGTCAGACCGAGACCCCAGCACCAGCCATGGTGAGACCGCTGCGAAGCCGTGCGTTTTCAGCTTGTCAGCATGGGTGTGCCACCCAGGGCCCTGGTCTCTGGCTCCCCCTCCCCCATTTGGTCGGGCACCCCACCCATCTCTGCTTCGGCGAACGTTCCGGTCACACCGCCGGACCGGATCGAGGTTGCCAAAACGTTTTTGCTTCTCGAGTTGCAGATCCAGGAGTTGAATGGTTTGACATGGTTGTAACCATTCCTTCCGAATTAGTTCTAGGTTGTGTGGACCAGAAACTTCTTCAACTCAACCGTCTCCTGAAATTTCCTGAAACTCCACCTACTTGAGTGACTGAGCGACTGGTGCGACACAAAGGCTGCCCTTCCCAAGCGCTCCTGCGACGGCGAACGGGGCGCGCGGCGAAACCGGCCGAGCATGACCTATCAGACCCTGGAACAGCCCTCAGCTTCATCCAGAAAGCCCTCGCTTTTTCAAGGAACCCAATTTGGAATGTTCTGTCACTTTCTCGTTATTTTTCTGGCCTTCAAGCAGCGAGCATTGCAACATGGAGTCCCCAACATGAAAGAAGCATGAAAGAAACCGCTCCCAGTCAGCTGGCTTGCTACAGATGCGCTTTTTTCGCTCGATTTTTTGAAGTCAACATTAAGTGTTGTTTGCGCTGAAAAGCCACCAGAGCGAGATATGTTTTCTGAAGATTGCCAGGGAGCCAAAGAGGTTTCTTGAGGAGCTTGAAACCACATCTGATGTGACTGGATGGTCTGTGTCAAATTCACTTGAAGACATGCACCAAGAGCAAAGGTTAGACCTGCAAAGGACGAGGAAATCACTTCATGACACCCTGACTTTGTTACTAGTAGTAGCTATATAAGCTTCCCTAACAATCTAGGAACCAAATCATTAGTGCGAGCGCTTCAAGAAGCTTCCCGGGGGGGAGTTTCCTTGAAGAAGCGCTTCTCTCTCCTGCGTCCAGTCGGTAGTAGCTACTTGTTAGCTACTAGCCATTCCTCCGTTCGCTACTAGCTCGCGGCCTAACCCCCAACCAAAAGAAAGAGTCTTTAGGCTAAAAGGATGTCTTCAGGTCTTCCGGGTGAACATGACTTCAGATTCCTCGACCCTCAAAGAGGGGTCGGGTCTTGGCTCCAAATCGAACCTCCGGACATCATCCACTGGATCTTACTATGAAGGAACTGCTGGACAGGAAAATGTTGCAAAGGTTCTCAATGGTCCCCAAGTACAGGAAGTGGCCTCTTGAAAGGTCCTGGGATAGGTACACTCCGTACACTCCCTGGAAACATCATGGTTACGTGGAGAAAAACATGTTTCGTATTCGGACAATGGTCGTCCGAGATCAGGGCCATGCATTCACGTCCTGATAGGTGCTGAAAACCCATGTGTATTTGGACGCCTTCCACCGCCACGCATCGCCACGCCTCATAGATGGTCAGAGCTCCAGCGGCTAAGAGCTCCTCGTGCGGTTGGATCTGCGACATCTGCAGAAGCTTCTCCTTGGGTGCAGGTCGCCATGGCGGTTGGATCGGGAACCGCATTGACATTGGATGTTCCAGTGTCCAAGCTTAAGTGCACTGCCGTCTCCGTTCGACGTCGTCTCGAACGTCCGCGAACCGGCGGACCGGCGGACCGTACGGTGACGGACTCGCATGGCGCTGTGGACCGAGGTCATTCGGGTCGAATGTTCATCCAAAAACCGTTCTGAAGCGCAGGAGAGGACAGGGGGTGAGCCCTCACAGGACAGGATTTGTTCAATGAAATGTTGATGAAATTTGGATTTATTATATACACACCGTGCGTGGAATCATGGAAGTGAACAACCAGGTCTTCGCAACATGGTCCTCTGAACTTGGGGGACAAGTTAAGGCCTTCCACTTCCGATCTCTTCCGATGATTTGAAGGGACAATAGGACCCTTGGGACTATCATGGACTGGAGTTTCTCTTGGGATTTTGATGGATTTCCCGGATTCATCACCGGATCCAACGAAGGCACCGGCGATCCTGCTTCGTCTGGGGGCAGTTGACCAAAGGGACCCCTCGCTTTTGGTGCTTTGGCTGCGTTTGGACACGGACCGGCGGGTGCCTCACGAGCTCTCTCTACAGCACGAGACGTTTTTCAGCGCAGGACTCCGCTGGCAAAGTGTACATGGGGAAGGAGGGCTCTGTCGTGGCCTGTTCCATCTTCAAGTGACCTGAGATCGATGTCAACGGCTCCGTTTGGGCGCAATAGCACCAGGGGTCCTGAGTCGTGCAAATGTGGGTCGTTTCAAATCCATTGAGTGTTGAACGTTTCCATTAACGTTTGAGGCGATGGGTTTCAGTCAGCTGTTCCAAGTCCCCCCCTTTTCTCACAAGCTCAGAATTCGTGGAAAGCCATGGCCTAGGTCACTCAGTGGCGAGGCCATGTGCGGTGGCCTATATAGGATAACATGGGTCAGAGGAAACGATGTAGATCCCTAAGAATCTGCCCCTGAAATAGAAAGGATTAGATATCCATGTGACAGGATTGGACTCATGGGGCGCCTCGATGAATCCGTTTGAAACCCCAAACTCGACACCGTGGTGTCGGGGTGAGACCCTGCAAGCTAACCTTCGCGGAACATGAAAAAGCGCATTTTTTCATTTGAGGGCCCAGATTCGTAGGGTCAGATCCATAAGTTGGGGTGTAGGTCCTATACACACACACACCCGATTCCTCCGGATGAGCTGCTTATCGGATCGGATAGGATCAGGTGCAAACATTTAGCCTAGCAAGCAACATGAGTGACCGAGTGAAAGCAGGCCGAGTGAAGAACATGAAAGCCATGATTAAAACATGTGTCCGATTCAATGGACCAGGTGCAAAATCGCCTGACAATGCTGTCCCCGGTCTTGCTCGTGAATAACATATCTTGGACTAGGCAATAGGTGTAGCATACTCTTTTTCAACTAAGAAACTCAAACTGAACATTGGAATAAAGTCAATACACTCCTGGCAAGTCAAGGAGATCCCATTTTTCCATAAACTAGGGGCCGTCAATCTACAAGGTCTGGATGGTTTGAAGCTTGTCTCTCAGGGGCTCGCAGTCTCTCACTTTCTCTGACCGGATGGACAGTCCATCCTGCCAGGGAAAGAAACACCGATACAAATCCACTGTTGGTCCATTCTACTGTTCCAACATGGGCCTACCATCCTCAAACGGCTCTGAATATCAACCAGCATCTTGTAGGTCACAGATCGAAATTCTCCGGACCATTGGACCATTGGATATCTCCGATCCACCCGATGGTGAACCGGTGTTCACTGGGTGACTTCCCACCCAACCGCGGACGTCAGACCGTCGGACCGTCGGACCGTCAGCGAAGGCACTGGTCCATCCGCCTGTCCGCAGCGAGCGAGCCAACTCCTCGAGTGGGGTCTCCTCGAGTGACACGTTGCCACACCTCATCGCTGAACGTCGAACGCGGCTGCAGGCGGAGAACGCGTGGGCGCGGTGGTGGTCGTAGATGGCGGTGTGGCCCGGCGCTGGGTTTTCCAGAGCAGCCAGCGCTGGTTTGCACGCGTGAGGCTCGAGCTGAAAATTCTGTGGCCCACGGCAGGACGGGGCAGGACGGCACAAAGTGGCGTCGACCAGTCAGCGAGGTGGCTTGTTTCGGTTTTTGTCATCATTACATCACCCAACTGAACCCTGCCGGTACCAAGTAGACCAAGTACCCTCCCTGCAACACTCATGGAAGTGGACAACCCCCTCTTGGTATTCAGAAGATTGTCTTCCTTTCGGGGCCATGCCGGGCATTGTTTCAAGGGACATCCTGGGAGCAAGGGCCTCATTGACTCATTGAGTTTGTTTTTTAACGAAGAAACCCAAGGGTGTTAGACCATGCTAGTCCAGGTGCTACGTAACTTTGGGTGCCTCACATGGCGACCCAGTGGCGAGATGTCGCGAGAATAGAAGTGTCAGGGTATTTATATATACTCTTTTCTCTTGAATTCACCGAACCCTAGCCCATCCGTGTATGGAATAGTTATACCATGTTATACCTACATCAGTTACATGGTCATAAATGGGGTGAACATGCCACTATCCCAGTCCGATGGACCACAAATCCTCCAACGGATCCTCCCCCCACCAACACCGGTGCTTAACAACGCCCGTGACAACGCCCGTGACCACGGTTCGCCTCCACCATGTTGTGCAACTTCTTGCGGCGTTGGTCGATGGGTACCAAATCCTGACGAAGAGAGAGAACCACGTGGGCTTTCTCTGCCCCCGGTAGAACCCACCCGAACCGGTGAGGAATCCACACCAGCGCTTCACCATGACGGTGAGAGCTTCCCATCCCAGTCTGTGTGGGGTCGAAAAGAATGAGGGGATCTAGTGAAGTACACTGACGATGACTGTAAACTCCCCTTCAAGACATTGATCGGACGCAGAAAATGCGGCATAAGTGGATGATTTGTTATTTCATGCCTGGATTCCGGCATTCTGTTAAGTTTGAAAGGAGTCAATTCTGCCGCATTCTTGCCCCAAAAGTCGTTGAGAGTTCTTGTGATGCCACCGAGTTCTCCGATGCCACCGAGTTCTTGACCAGCTTGAGCAACTTCTCAACGTGTGTTGCTTGACCAGCTTGTGAACTAAGGGATGTTTGTTGGTTAGGAAGTGTTTGGCCAGCACTCATTTAAGAACAAATTGGTGGAACAGGCTCCAAGTTTCAAGTTTCCCATGTGACTCCAAATCAGCTGACCTCCATGATGTGTTGGAAGAGCGGGATTTCTTTCAAACAGCTCCTCGCCGCTTACCACGGGGTGGCAAACACACCATGTGGACCACCATGGACCACCAGAAGAGTCAGGGGTAGTACCTTGGAGTACTCCTTAGACCCTCAAGGCCTTTGTGGGTCTATCCCGATCACTGTGACAGTGAAGGATGCTGATGATGGTTCACAATTGCTATCCATTACCCTAAGCATGCAGAGGATGCCTCTGAGAGGGTGATGTGTTCGACATCTAGGCTTCAGGACCATCCAATCATACCTTCTGAGAAGGTATGTGGATCGATAGGGGGGAGAAAAAAGAAACAATCCACCATGTCCAACTAGCACTGCACTTGCACATCATGATTTCCTCCCCATGATCACTATTGATCAACCCCCATTGCCAATGAGTTCCCCGGCCGATTCAGCCACTCCAGCCTCCAAGGCGGCCTGCAGCTTCGCATCCGGCAGAATCGACGTGTTTGCCGGACCACCCAGGTCGGGGATTCGGGGGCCCGAAAAACGACCTGGGTGTTGCTGCCAGTTGCCATTATAGCACAACTACGGTTACTACTGCAATAAGGCATCGGGTTCTCCATGGTTTTCCAACATCGAGGTGTCACGGTGATCTGACCATTGATCGTTGTGATCTCCTGTAGTTCGCTCACCAGCTGGACTTCGAGGTTCCACCTAGGTGCTCCAAGGATATAGGCGGTTGAATCAGCACATCAGGCAGCATAGCCCTAAGACCATTGCATTTGTGGAGGCCATCTGTCCTGGCAACTTGCAGGACTTCAACATGACACCAAAGCATGATGTGCCTGCTCATGAACCACCAACACACCCCACAAGGAACTATATGGACCATGACAACCAAACCAACAAAACCTCAAACCCAGTTTCTCCTCGACTGCGTCCATCGGTCTAACGTAGCCTTCAATGCCGTTTGCAGCTTGTCTTTCATCTCGCGCAAGGACTCAATGCTCTTCGTGTCAACCTGGAGCGCAGGGCTCAGTAGTCAGTTTCAGCGCAGTATTTTCCTCATCACGGCAGGTTACCCCACCGGAGGCCGTTTCTGAAATTGAGAGTTGGTCCGAATCATGTTGTTCAATGATTCCTTCACCAAGCACAGGTCACCAGGGTGCCCCCAACACTTAACCCAAAATTCCTGCCCGCGATGCGGAAAAGATCAAACAACTGGGTACAAACCATAGCACACGTTGTGTTGCATATTGGATACTTGGGGGTGGCGAGATGTGGCAAGATGATTCAGGCAACCATGTACAATGCGATGTACAATGTTCAAACCAAGCTGAACCAAGCTGCATGAATCTAGTGTTCTTCAATCTAGGAGCTACCGCCTGGCCAAACAAACCGGCGGTAACCGTAGATGTTCTCAATCTTGTAATCTCTGTAACTTGTTGTTCAAACTTGAGAGGTATATAATCTATATAGCCTTGCACATGACAACAAAGGTTTTTCCATAGCTCACAAATACTGACAACAGGCTGACACTGGGCCCACAGGGAGCCAAGGGTTTTTCACAATATAGTCTCCAGCAAGGGTCAAACACATGTTGGAGGGAAATCAACCAATTCACCTACCTTTGTGCAAGGACCAAAATAATACAATGCTAGACTATAATACATTACGTACCATACTATGCGTTGGGTATATCTCATTACCAGGCCCCAGTGGATGATGATGGTTAGGTCGAAGGCCTGTCTCTAAAACAGTGATGCTCTTGTTTTACCGTGCAGACCCACTGTTATAAGGTAAAATAGGACACCCCCCAAGACTTATGTGCAACCCACATGGCCTTGATCTGATCCCAAAAACGACGGCCTGCTGCGAGTCTTCCAGCGCTGCATTCACTTCCTTCATCAGCTTCTCCTCGGGCCACTGACATGTCGGGTGCCCTGGAGGCCTCCCGTCAGGTGCCCCGACGTAGGCCAGCACTTGCGCTCGAACTTGGGTGGGAAAATGGTGCACCCGAACTCCCCCCCGAATCAAGAAACAAGAACCATCGGCCTCGCTAGCAGTAATTGTTGTTTGGGAATTGTTAAGGACCCATCCCATTCTCGAAGGAAACCCTGCAGCGTGTCTTCGACGTTTCTGCGCTCCTTCTGCTCCTCCTTCTTCAAGAGTTCTTCTGCCTGTGACGGTCAGATCTCGTTTTTGTCATTGGACTCTTCTGCAACTTTCTATGGGGAGGAGTGGAACATCCTCCTGGAGCTTGGTAACTACAGCTGCTGAATGAATTGTGACCTCCCTGATTCGGATCCTTTAGGAGCGAACAGCCCTGAGTAAAAAGCTCCTCAAGCAAAGATTATACTCCCTCAAAGAATCATGCAAGCGGGCCTTGCCTTTTGGAATGACCATTTTGGGAATACCAAACGGGTGGTGAACTCCACTTCGATGATGATTCCGCAATGACATGCAATGACCACAAATTCACCTCAAGGTTGGGATGACCTTACTGATCCATAAAGACATGACATGTGAATCATGTCAGACTTCGCGTCAAACGTCGGCCCAATCCAGAATTCTCGTAACCATCCCTCAAGTCCCAAAAAGCAGTCCAACCAATGCTGGCTCCTACTCCACCAACTCCCGCACCAAAAAGAGAACCACCAGCGCGTGTCCCGCAATCCACCAACTCCCCTCCACCCCCAAAAAAAAACAACACAACATCCTAAAGAGCCCAAAGGACACCTGGCTCGCCCGGCTCACACCGCTCACTGACCGCCGCTCTTTGTTCTTCCACTGACCGCGCACCTTGGCCCACTCCGTAGGCTCGAGGCCTGCGGCCTTTGCAGCGCTGATCGCCTCCTGAGTCGACGCGGTGACTTGCAGCGCAGGTGGGACACCTCTTCCCCCAACGGTGGGTGGTGGGAGTTTGGGGATCAGGTCGGGATGTTTGTTGGGGAGAGTTTGCGGAAGAAGAAGAAGATGTGTTTTCCTTGGCAGTGTTTTCCATGGGTGCTTCATGTGATGTCCAGTCGCATGCTTCCACCGCGATGGCCGCAGTTTGATGGAAGAAGAAGAAGAAGATGATGATGATGATGATGAGAGTTGATGGCCTGGCGAAGGGAGCCTCTGAGGCCAGCAAGTGAGATGCGAGAGGCCAGCTTCCATTTAAATTTAGACGGCTGGGATCTGAGAAAGTTGCTTTTCCTTCTGGCATTCTTTGAGTGTGTGCTTTCTGCTACCTCTGCTGTGCATAAGGAGATCGTCTAAGTCTAAGTCATGCACTGAAGTCTTGCAAGACATCCAAGGACACCGGCATATCGCCATGACAATAGTTGTTGAGACTAGCCCCATCTATTCATCCAAAGGATTCTTTTTCCAACACCGGGGGCCACTCCTGGAATCCTCCCTTCTCTCACCCAACGCGCAGTGATGCGCGCGGTGAAGTCGGATTCGCCTGCAAAGCCGCCTTGGTGATGTGCTTCGTCGCCTGAGAAGTTTCGATAGAAATTCCAACCATCCCAAAGGTCTGCTGTTGACATTCAAGGCCTTTTGCAATCTGTTTCCCATGCGTCACATGTGTGATGCATGGTTCTATAGTTCTGGCAAGATTTGGAGCTGGTTTAGTTTATTAAACCCGTCCACTTCTAGAATCACCAACTCCCCAGCGGAGATCCCGCAGAAGGAAAACTCTCTGAGCATGGTAGGTGACCCCGCAGAAGCAACAGAAGTTCCCCCGTTCCGACGTGGAGGATGGACAAATGACGTGGGTGTTGGATGGTTTTTCCCGAGAAGAAAACACACACCTGTTGTCACTGCTTTTTATTGCAGAAAATCACATGGAAGTGATACTTTTGGGGG